CAGACTTTGCAAAGGCGTTCGACAAATGTGACCATGGGGTGATAGCTCACAAAATGAGGTCAATGGGAATAACTGGAAAAGTAGGACGCTGGATACTCAATTTCCTGTCGAACAGAACACAAAGAGTAACAGTCAATCAGATAAAATCGAGTCCAAGCGATGTTAAAAGCTCTGTACCTCAAGGTACAGTCCTTGCACCGCTACTGTTCCTTATTCTCATATCTGATATAGACAAAAATACACGCCACAGCTTCGTGTCGTCCTTTGCAGATGACACAAAAATCAGCATGAAAATTACCTCTGCTGAAGACATTGAAAAACTACAAGCAGATGTCAACAAAGTTTTTGATTGGGCAGCAGAAAATAACATGATGTTTAACAGTGATAAATTTCAGGTACTCAGGTACGGCAAAAATGAGGATCTGAAACATAATACAGGGTACAAAACACAATCGAATCTTCCCATAGTAGGAAAACAGCATGTCAAGGATTTGGGAATAATGATGTCCGACGATCTAACGTTTAGGGAGCATAACCAAGCAAATATCGCGTCAGCCAGAAAAATGATCGGATGGATTACGAGAACTTTCAAATCCAGGGATCCCATCACAATGGTTGTACTCTTCAAGTCACTTGTGCTGTCCCGTCTCGAGTACTGCTCAGTACTCACTTCCCCCTTCAGAGCAGGAGAGATTGCTGAAATAGAGGGAATACAGAGAACATATACGGCACGCATAGACGAGATAAAACACCTAAATTATTGGGATCGTCTCAAAGCTCTCCAAATGTACTCTCTAGAAAGGAGACGAGAGAGATACCAAATAATATACACCTGGAAAATACTGGAGGGTCAGGTCCCAAATCTACACAGTAAAATAACAACGTACTGGAGTGAACGATATGGAAGAAAATGCAAGATTGAACCTGTGAAGAGCAGAGGTGTCATAGGCACAATCAGAGAGCACTGTATAAACATCAGGGGTCCGCGGTTGTTCAACGTCCTCCCAGCGAGCATAAGAAATATTGCCGGAACAACCGTGGACATCTTCAAGAGAAAACTGGACGGTTTTCTAAGAGAAGTTCCGGATCAGCCGGGCTGTGGTGGGTACGTGGCCCTGCGGGCCGCTCCAAGCAACAGCCTGGTGGACCAAACTCTCACAAGTCGAGCCTGGCCTCGGGCCGGGCTTGGGGAGTAGAAGAACTCCCAGAACCCCATCAACCAGGTAATCAACCAGGTATCATAGGGAGTGTCATAGTGGTGTCATAGGGTACTCTGGTGATGGAGGGGTGTCATAGGGTGTGTGTGTCATAGTGTGTCATAGGCTGTAGTGGGTATGTGGGCCTGCGGGCCGCTCCAAGCAACAGCTGGTGGACCAAACTCTCACAAGTCAAGCCTGGCCTTGGGCCGGGCTTGGGGAGTTGAACTCCTAGAACCCCTTCAAGCAGGTATCAAGCAGGGAATATTGCTGAATTTACCAGAATTTAACCTGAATTTAGCTAAGGGCCACTGTCTTGGTGGCCTCGACAAGAACAGGAAGCTGGCATCTAGTCGAAGGTCCCCCTCCCCAGTGTCTTGATGATTTTGTCTAGCTGGATTTTTAAATTTAACAGTGTTTTGGCATTTTTGGCTTCAGTAGGTAGGCAGTTTCATGGGTTTGTAACTACAGGTATTAGTGAAAAAAGCATGTGTTTTCCGTCCTCCATTGTGGTTTATTGAGTTTGAAACCATAGCTTCTTGTTCATGTTTATCGGACCTTTTGAAGAATTGGTCTGAAAGAAGAATTTCCTTTACCTTTTTTTTCGCAGTTCAGTTGTTGCTCTGGGTCTTTGCCAGATTGGAGTCATACAAGGAAAAGCTAGTCCTTCTGGCTCCTTGGTTCCTGCTCTTCTTGCTTGGTGTCCAAACCAGGGAATTTTTTGCAGCTCTGTCTTTTTTAGTATTGATCCAGTAGCATACCTTGCTAGTTCAGAGAGTTCTTTGGCTCCTTGCATCTGGACCTTGTGATGCGTCTCTCTCTCCATTTCTCTGGCAAGCGATTGGTTGAGTTACTGGTGTTCCACCTGTGTTTGTCCTTGAGGTGGAAGTATGACATTGCTTGGCACTTATTTGACCTATTTCTGTCCCCTCCATCATCATCTGTTTCTGCTGGGTTGTGCTTTCCATTCTGTTTTGGTTATTTCTTGGCCAGCACCTAATACAATTGCTTCATATCATCCAGCATTGGTGGAGCTGTCATTGTGCCCATGATGTTGGGATATATGCTCTGCTTGCAGCTGTCTTGACCAATGTGTCCTGGGCTGACATTCATGCACGGGGGTTTTGGAGGCCTAATGGAGTCTTGGCGGCCCATTTTCTGGTCACTGTTCCTGGGCCAAATCGTTCCTCTGTTGCCTTGGGTCATTTCTTTCGGCTGGTTGTCTCGCCTTTGCCATAGTACCTGCCGTCTCTCCTTTGTATATATGTCTCCTGGTATGTCCTTTGGGTTTTTATCTGGTTAGCTTCAGGGCACAACAAGCGACTTTCCCAAAAATCCAGCATCAAATGTAATGATATGCCTCTTTCTGGATGAGCTCCAGTGATTGTTTGGCACCCTCCCTCCCTACCAGGATCATTGGTTTGTGGTTGTGGGTTTTCACAGCTGCTCCAGAAGTGACTTGGGAGTGTTGGGAATCTTTGGGGGCTCTGGGCTTCCTGGGTGTTGGTAGTTTGGTACTAATGCATTTGAGCTAGTTTCAAGAGTGTCACTCATTTGTTGACATAGTTTAGGGGGACCATGTTCTGGCTCTGGTCCCACATATGCCATAAAGAAGTCCACATCTGATGTGACCTAGTTGTTAGGAGCAATGTCAGTAAGAGAGCTTCAGGAAGCTACAGGGGCTCATCCAGAGAGAGATACTTCAACACATTCAGTGCATGTATTTTTTGTTATTTTACTGGACTGCATGAAATGACGGTTTTTAAAAACTTGTATGTACAGTATATGATGGACTTTACTCAAATATAATTTAGCAAGGTTAATTCCCATTAATCCTTGTGCCCTCTGCATTCTTAGCATTTTGTTGAACACTTGCTTTACATTCTTTTTGTGCTATATGAACTTTTGAAGTTAAATTTATGTATCATTGCACATCACAAGCATTCTGGTCTTCGAATGTGTTCTAATTTGTGACTGGAAAATGGAGTGAGAGTTATGTATTAATGTAATGCCTACACAAACATTTATAAAAAAGGGTCGTGATAATACAGTTGGGTTTGGTCTTGTTATAGTGTGTGGGCTATTAGTGTACAAAGAGTGTACAGGGAGTACTACCTAGAGGGGGTTAGGCCCAGCCCAAAGAGAATTTCCCAGGGTAGTTCTCAAAATTAGATATAAAAATAGTTTGCAGTTTAGGTGCAGATGCCTAATCCTAGTGAAACGGGGGGATAGTAAACTCCAGTTAAAAACTTACATTATTCATTAAACGCTATACACCCCCAAGTACGTCGCAATACTCTACCATATCTACTTTACGTTAATTCTCAGACTTCACATAGGCAGGAGATAAGATTCACATAATAGCAACTAGTGGTAAAGTCTACGATCCCTTAAGGGGCAACTAGCCATTCACAAGTTGTTCATGACTTGTTAGGCCAAAGCTGGAATATGCAGCGGTTGTATGGTGCCCATATCTTAAGAAACACATCGACAAACTGGAAAAGGTGCAAAGACATGCAATTAAATGGCTCCCAGAACTGAAGGACTAGAGCTACGAGGAGAAATTAGAGGCATTAAATATGCCAGAACTAGAAGATAAAAGAAAGAGGCGATATGATCATTACTTACAAAATAGTAATGGGAATAGATAAAATTGATAAGGAAGAATTCCTGAGACCTGGAACTTTAAGAACAAGAGGTCATAGATTTAAACTAACTAAACAAAGCTGCTAACAAAATATAAGAAAATTCACTTTCACAGAGTGGCAGATGGTTGGAACAAGTTAGGTGAGAAGGTGGTGGAGGCCAAGACCGTCAGTAGTTTCAAAGCATTTTATGACAGAGTGCTGGGAAGACGAGACACCAAGAGTGCAGCTTTCATCCTGTAACTACACTTAGGTAATTACTTTGAACAGAAGGGTGGAATGTACTACTGTAATATAGAGTGGTACTTACCTTAGTAATAAAGCCTTGTGAAGTTAGAATAGGAGGTAAAAATGAAGATGCCACTCAAGCTGACCGGCCCCAACTGTGCTCGGGTGAGAATAAACACACACCACTACTTGCACCCCAGCGTTCTGGGTCCTCGCTCGGCCCAACTAATCCTCCAGTAAGCACTTACTCAAACTCTAATACAATATTTAATTGCCGCTAATCAATTCTTAGTATAAATATAAAATCCTAGCTTTTCAATACACTGCACAACATATCACCAGAGTGTATCTAGATGGGAGCATCAAGTGGTCTTGTGTCTGGCAACTAACACAGCCCATCTTTACAAGCCAAAATGTCTAGCTATTCCAACAGTTATAGAAACATTCCTTTCTTAAACCAAGCCTGCATAACTAGCTCTATACTTTCCATAATATAAGTCTCAACATATTCTCACAACAATCATGGCTTATCACATTAAAATATATATAATCTAATGGTCCCTCACATTCTCTATATAAACAATAGGTATACAAATCCCATAAGATTCTGGCTCCCATATACAACAAAGCGGTCAGGGCCGTAACAGGTCTTGATTCACAATTGGGAATCTAGGGTTCTAATCCTGAGTGGGACAGAAATGGTTGAGCATGTTTCCTTTCACCTAGTGCCACTGTTCACCTAGCAGTAAATAAGCACCCGGGAGTTAGTCAATGGTTGTGGGGTTGCATCCTTGGGAAGGTCAGTACTGTAGTTTGACCAAAGGGGTCATTGATATAAGCCTAATGTCCACGACAACAAAATGAATCAAACTTAAAATATTAGTTATTGTATTATATAACAGTATAATAAACAATTGCTTTTCTTCTACAGCTGAGCCTCAGATTTGAAAGAAATAGTCATCGGTCCACTTCACAATTTACCGACAGTTCAGACGCTGGGTTGCTATGACAGACCACACTGAAGACAATGATCCTTTCGAAGAGGATATTGTTTTCGATGAAGCTGGCTTATTGGGTGGAAAGATGCCACGGTCTCGTCAGCAATCCACAGTGGGATTTTTACCAACATTTATGCTGTTTATTAGGACAGTATTCCTGTGTACGGCTTTTGTTGGATTGGTAAGTGATTTTAATGTGTTTCGTCAAGTACAGTACATGGTTTTTGTTGAAATGTTAGGAAAGCGAGGTGCAGCGGGGTAAATGTGAGCAGGTTGTATTGGTTTGCTCTGAATGTAAGTTACTTTATTACAACATTTGGACTAGTTAATATAATAAGGAAATTTAATCCATTTCTTGCAGGTTTGGAGCTAAAAGAACTTTTTCCCCACATTTATCTTTATTGATTTCTGATAAAAAAAAAATAGAATGTAATGAAGTGCCTCTTTCTGGATAAACCTCAGTGACTCCCTGAAGCTATCTTGCTGAAATTGCTCCGTGCAAATGGATCACAACGGATGTGGGAATTCTATTTGATCGGAGACAAAATCTGACCCCTCCTCGCAGAGGCACAGAAAGCGAGTGACAAATCACCACCACGTTGGGAAAGCATCTAGGAAGCTAGCAAAGCTTTACATACAACTGGAGCATTAACATAGACCAAGTCCTCGAAACTGCCAAACAACTCTGCAAATGATTCTCAGAAAAAGAGAAACATTAAAAGTTAGTGAAACACTGTTCTGAATGCCACACTACCAGGCAGCCGGACTTCCGCATGCGGCCATCTTCCATGATCTGGACACTGGAATTAACGACCAGCACATTGATAAATCAATTAACTTAGTAGGGAGGAATGGAGTTGGGATCTACCAGACATCATCCAGAGAGGGGCATTTCATTACATTCACTAATGTTTTCTGGATGATGCCCCCCTCCCCCTCCCAGGGGGAGGGGGGAGCTCTGGACCCCCAGTGCCAGCTACCCAAGTCATCCAGTTCGATAGCTAAGCATTAAAAAGAAAACGGAATCGCCGATCAAAGGGAGGGTTGCCAAGGAGCATCCAGGGGTCATCCAGAAAATGGGGTGTCATTACATTCAGTGCTGGTTTCTGAGGGGTAGCCAATACGGATTTCTGGAGCTACGTCACCAAAGATAAGGAATATAGGGACTTACCCCTGGAGGTGGATGACATTCGCTCCTTAATTCGAAGTGGAGACAATGGGCTGCAACCTGGGACCCAAAGCCACGCACAGACAACTAGGACCAGGAATGTTGACGAGATAACGCACGACCAGGACCCTGTTCAACCTCCAAAATCCCCGTGTCCGAATGTCGGCCAAACGCTAAAGCAGCAAATTTCCTAACGTCATAGGCATGAGGATAGACAGCAAGCTGGCTAGACTTGATAATCCTGCAGACATCCTGGGAGACCTGAACCCTGGAATAGGGAATGAGGGAAACTGGATCAACCCAGAGCACATTCCCCAGCCACAAAAACTGAAGCATGCAGGTAACGACGAAGAGCCGCAACCGGACACAACACATGATGTACCCCTGGCCTGACCAACCAAGCATTAATGACCCAAGGGGCCCACTGGAAAGCAGTCGTCTTGTTCTTCAGAAATGAAGGCGACGGCTGTAACCGAACTAACCTACCACCAGGACTGATGGAGCAGAAACCCCTGCGCCGGAGTAAAGCATGAAGCTCCCCCACCCGACTCCCAAAGGCCAATGCCAACAGAAAAAGAGCCTTGGAGAAACAATCCTGAACCATGAACTGAGGAGAAGAGGGATAGGAGAGCACCCTGTTCAAGGATCAGGGCTGGCCTTGTGAGCACTGGTCACAAAACTCCAGTCGAGAAATGAGGCATCCATGAACACATCAAGAGAGGGCTCGGGTAGGTGTCACAACACTGAACCCCGAAAAACCCAAAAAGGAAGATGGCGATGCAGCAGCCGATGAAAGGCCCTCCTGAGGCCGAACCCAGCGATCGCAAGAGAGGCGGAAGGGAGGACCCCGAAGAAACCAGAACATACCCTGAAGCCAGACCCGACCAGGCGGGTAAACTAGCACGGCAAAGTTCAGACTCCTGCACAACTGCTCGAGCAGCTGCTGAGTGACCTGGGAACCCCATTAAAACAGGCTGAAGGTGGGACTGCAGCCAGAGCAAAATCTCAGGAGGGAGAGACAAGGAAGCGGTCCGAAAGTCCCACACATGACCCAGCCAGGTCCGAGCCTGGGATCGAACCAGATGGGACTTCCTCCAGCTCACCAGGAACTTGAACAGGCGAGCTGGGAAAGAACCACACTCCTGGCGAACAGATAAGCAGACTGGCTGGGAGCCCATATCAACCAGTCGTCGAGGTACGCCAGAACACGAACCTCTAGCAAATGCAGACGGGCCACCATGACCGAGTAAGATGCGTGAACGCGTGAGGTGCCAGATTCAAGCCAAAGGGAAGGCAACAAAAGTGGTAAGCCTAATGCCCCACCACAAAACCTAACCAGTCCCTGAACCCCAGATGAATAGGAATGTGCCAATACACTTTCTTGAGGTCCAGGGACACCATCCAGGCACCCGGCTCCAAGAGAAACTGGACCTGAAATAGTGGTCATCCAAAAGGAGGGGCAAGGAATCCAGGGGTTCAGACTGGACAAGTCCAGAATGAACCACAGATCTGCACAGTCCTGTTTTGGCACTGAAAATAGGCAGGAAACTCGCCTGAGTGATGGGTTGTTTCAACCTTGCCCAAGCGCACCCACTCAGAGATGACTCGACGAGTGTGGGGAAAAAATGCTGGATTGCGAGCCGTGAACCCCCCCCCCCACCCACAGGTTGGTGTAGACGACCTAAAATGCCCACAAATCGTGGGACCAAGTGTGAGCCTCCACCCCATTACCCCATCAATGGTACAAACTGCAAAAAGGCCGACTCCCCTTGCGAGAAGCCAGCTGATGAGCAGAGCGATCACTGAGCCAATCAGAGAACGTCTGCTCCAAAACTGGCACCAAAGGCCCACCTCAACCAGCAGAGCCCTGAGCCCTGGCACGACCCTTCCGAGAAGGCCAAGAATGGCCACCGCAGAGAACCAACAAGTCCGACATGGGATGACAACTAGACAAAGCCGCCTGCAGAAACTGCTTGACCGCAATCTCTGCAAACAGCAACGGACAAAACGGGGACAAAACCTAAGAGCCAGGGGCCCCAGCGGATTCCAAAAGAAGAGAGAGCACAGCCTGATGGCACGCAAGGCGAGAAACAAAGAACAATCACGCCTCCTTGATGCACGTGCCACCAAGGTCAGCGCACCAGACGGAGGCCTGGCACTCAACGCCTCCACATCCTCCTCGAGCCAGGACGAAGACGGCCCAAGAAGAGAAAAGAAACGCAAGACCAAGGACAAATACTCAAGGTCACTCAAATCCTCAGTGACCAAGGATGCCGAAAAGAAAGAAACCTGCACGTGCAACTGCATAAGGCCAATGTCCCGAGGAAGCACAGGGGCGAACATGCATGGATTAAGATGCTCAAACTCTTTCCCCAGGTAAACCTGCGGAACAATAAAAGTTTCTCGCTAATCAAGCGTGCGGGTCCGACAGAACCCATGCCACACCCCCAACGAAAAGAAAGAGCAGTCTGCCAGCCAGAAAGACTCCAGAACCTCCAAATGCACCCAATAAATGGAAGAAGAATCGAACTCAAGCGAGGATGGGGGTCCATCAGAGAGGCAGAATCCGGGTCTCACAGGAGATAACCAGCAAATGCCTCCTGAATCTACTTAGGTGAGATATGAGAGGCAGAAAACCTCTGTAAAGAGGGAGCCGAGGAACCCAAGGAAACCGGGAGCCGACCCCAAATCATATTCCCCCCCCTCCCCTGAAACAACAAGCCCTGCAAAGAGGGCACCAATACCCTGACAGGGTCAAAGGAGGTTAACTCTATCCCAGGTCAACTCTTCCCCAGCCTCGGGATCCCCCAAGGCCTGACCAAGGACAGAGCAGTTCTCCATACCCTCTACCCCTGAAGAAAAGGCAGAGTCCAGGTAAAGACAGAAAAGAAGGGGGGCATGCTGGTTGGGCCCAGAAGCCTTGGCAGGAGGAACCGACTCGATTGCCTCCGTCCCCAACCTGAACGGGGCAGCCCCCAAAGCTGCCCGAGTCTTATTACCAACTAAACCCTGCCCCGACTCCGAAACCCTCAGATGTTTGGGAGCTGGAAGCAGGGGGGGAAGGAGCAGGATGAACAACAAGGGAATGGCCAGGGAGCATGGACTGAACCAAAGTCTAAGCAACTAACACCCCCAGGTCCCTATAACCATAACGGGGCAGCCTCGTGGCATCCGGGTGGGCAACCAACCTAGTGTATTGCGTTGCAGCAACTGAATAGCAATAGCATCAGAATGAGTATATTGGAGAACAAGCAGAGAGCATGACTTGCAAGATTCCAGGTCAAATGTGTCAGTGACTTGACAGGTAGCATAACGGAGGCAAAAACGGTGACTGTCAACCTGAGACAAGGGCACACAACAACTTTCAAACTCACATATGGCAATGTGGAACTCAGAAGATGCATCCATAGGTCTAATGAGCTCCAATGGGGTTTTCCAGGGCCCATAGGCTGACTGCTACGGGAAGCACAGGCTAGGCACAGCAAAACGGCTTGTCCCAAGCTAACAAGAGAAGCTGCTTAAAGCTGAACAACTGCAACATGTACAATCACTGATGCCTAGAGGAGGGCCACCCAACAACAAAAGTGGACCTAGAGCCAGACTAGGCAGACTCCCTCCAGGCAAGGAAACAAAAAGAAAAGAAAAATCCTGGAAAAGTACATCTCCAAAGGAACAGAAACAGGCTGTTGCGTTGGTAGGCGAGCTGCTCTGTGCATTGCGCCCCTACCAGCAAACAATACCGCTTCCTACCCAAGGCCAAACAAAGGCCACGAAAACCTTGGCTGGGCCAAGGGCGGGATAAGAGCCGAGCAGCAAAGACCCCTATGGAAGTGGTTCCCGAATGTTCTATGGAAGGGAACCTTGGAACCCTAGGGTAGTACTTGCAGGGCGCTCAGGGAAGAGAACCCTGAGCACCTGCTGCCCCAGTACTAATCAAAGTACACCTGGCCACTGTGCCTCACACAGCAGAAACACACCACAAGGCACACAACTGCACTGAAATCTGAGGCTAG